GCGGATGAGCTCATGGTGAGAGTCAGGAGCCATGCATATTTTAATGAGCTCTTTAACGGCTGGGAGTTCTTGAAGCCAGGGCCTGGCGAAGGCACCGCTTGACCTTGCCAAGACTGTGCCCTGGCATGCCATGGGCCATACTGTGCAGCGGAGCATCTGGATGTTTGGAGGAAACTGTTTGTACTAGCAATCTTTGTAGGTAATGGGCCATTACACTCACATTTGAGCATCAAGCAATTACTGCATGGACTGAGAAAAGTCTTCAGTTCAAAGTGCTTTTTTGATGTTGCGAAAAGCTTAAATCACTCGCAACAGAACTGGCTTTTGGGAGGAGTTCAAGCTGTACACCAAGGACCGATGGAGCCACAGCTTTTCTGGTTGATCATGTACTATCACGCTTAAAGAAATAGTTTACACAACTTTCTTCTTAACCCAAAGTTGGCTTCTTTATTCAAGATTCCAGATTCAAGAGCTCTTCTGTCATATGCACAGTAAACCAGGCCGTACACTGTACAATGAAATGCTTACTTTGCTAATCCTCCATTCACAATAAATAAATAAACAAATAAAGAGGTAGACATAAAGTCAACTTAGTAGTTAAAAATTACTTGTGTGGTATTGTGCAAAGAGCAGAGAGCAGCGGTCATGAAGTGCACTGTGTATTGGTTAGCTTTAGCTTTATATTGAGCTATGATGCTAATAAAGTCAACAAGTAATAGAAGTTCATACGTCAGAAGTTAGCAGTAGGGAAACCGCATGCCTAAACCAAAGGACAGTTGCCTCAAACCGTGTCATGCTGTTCAGAAATTTAAGACAGACTTCTGGATTCTGACACTGTATCACATACTGTTATCTATAAAAATGGATGGAAGTTCCTTGCATAGCTAAAACAGAAGTTGCAGCTGTCTCAAAGCCTGACCTTTGCCCACACTTTTGTCCATTAAGTGAGTAAAATACAAAGGTAGGATCAGGTTTCAAGTATTCTGCTTACTGTGTGTTCAAGCTTGAGGAAACTATTTGGGTCATTCTACAGAAATATCCACTTTTTTATCTCTCCATAGGAGTCACTGGTGTTACTGATCCTTGGTGTTACACATAATAAAGGTAACACCAGAGACATTTTTAATGAAAAATGCATTCTACAAAATGGCTGCTACAGATCATCAAACCACATGTTGTCAATCATGGAATATCCACTAAAATATGGAATTTAATCCATTTGTATTCTATTTTTTCACAATGACCTCAGAATAGAGTCGGTCACACCAGTGACTTCAGCTAAAAGCTTCATATGAAATCATGAGCTAAATGAGAAAATCTCTGATAACTGAAAGACACAGTGGACTCACCATGTGCTTTTCTTCATAGATCCTCAGAAAATAGGTAAAAGGAAGTCAAGTGACATCATCAGTGTGATTTTTATGTCAAAGTAAGAGTTTTTGTTACGCGGTAACACCAGTGACACAACTCCTGGGGACCACAGCTTCCATTATATATTTTATAATATTCATCTGGCATTTGTTTTCTTTGTCATTTAAATCATATATTTCATAGTCATGTATAGATTATTGCAGTTAAAATTGCAGAAAAAACGTTTACCTCAAAATATGGCACTCATGCTTTACACATGACTGTGAGGAAGAGCTCTTTTGTGGTGCTTGGAATTCTATATAATTGATTAAAAAAACAATATTGCTAAATTGAGGCTCAACAAGGTGTAATTATTAAAATAACTTATAGCTTTATTTTTAAATATAAATAAATTGTAACCCTAACATGTTTTTAAGTGTAATATATCTGTAAATGCTAGGGACACAGAAATGGATGTTTCTGTAGAATGACCCATATTGGCACTACATCAGTGCTGTAAAGTAGCCCTCATTCTGAGTTGTAATCATAAAACCTGTAAGAGAATGATCAAAAATTACAACACAGGTTCAGATTACACTGTTCAGTTGTAGAAGATATCACTTACTGGCCCTGTTTGCACCTGGCATTAACATATGATTTAATATGACCACAATGGACAATGCTAAGTACAGGTGTGAATGGGGTCCGAATGCGTCTTGGTGGATGCATTGTGACAACATCGAACAGAGCAGCAAAGTTTCTTTTCATCTCCTTTCCTGTTTGTTTATAAGTTGTTTTAACAAATCATGCAGTCTAAACAGTCGTAACGATGTACATGTACAAGAACAAGGACTTGCGGGATAGTTTTGTTTGACAATAAATACAGCGAGAGACTGACACAGTAAATACACGTGGTATTCCTCCTCCAGTCACAAAATCTAACCATAAGTGGTCATTGGAGACGCGTTAGAGATCCATAGAAACGCCACACATCTCGCTGTACACTTGTGATCAAATAACTTGGGATTGATGTTAATACCAGGTATGAACAGAATCTTTGATGGGTAAAGCCTAAAAATCTTTCCAATTCAAGACTGAACATGTCATGTCAATTTTAGAAATATGAAGCTTGTAGAAGATTTCCTAAGAAGACAGAATGTATGTTTTGGTTGTTGGCGGCAGCACCTGTAACGCTAAACACACCCAAAATTAAACCCCAGTGGTCAAGGTCGACCCTGTCTATCACAGCAAATATTACTCATGGTTAACATAATACATGACTCACTGTTAAAAGGAAGAGGCAGACAAACCAGATAAACAGGCCAAACTTTTAATTAAGGGGACATGTTTGAGCAAGCAGGACCCATCAGTGAGCTCACTGTGTGTCATGAGTAACTGGTGTAATTAACACCATCGGTGGGGCTCGTGTGTTCCTCTGAACAGACCCCTGGAACAACAGAGGCAGAGTCAACAGCCCGGGAGCATGACAACAAACACAAATGACCAGAAAAAAAAGCCCAGCGCCTCCCACACTGTTGCCTCTGCAACGTCCTGCGAGCTCTACAGCAAACACAGCCGTGGGTTTTGTGAACACACCTTTCCACTGTTTGGCCACTACAGCAACTCCTGGATGAAAGCTTAACATGAGCACAGCCCTGTTCTGTGAGCCCTCTGTGTGGATCAGTTCAGAGTTCCAAAAGAAGCAGCACAATACTGAGCAGCGGCCAATTTGACCCAAATAGCTCTGAAGCTCTTAACATGCAAATCCCAACAAAAGCCAAAGATCTGCACCAGCTTTGCTCAGCAGCGTAAACTAGGGCTTGAAATATCCGTCCGAATGCGACAGGATCCAACCGCTCATGTCTGGTTCGGACGTCATATTCATGATGTGTGTCGGACCAGGTCAGGTTTTAAATTTCATGTTTAGTTTCTCACAGACCTCCTCTCAATTTTTTTACCCTGCATTTTACCCTGCAATTCCCTTGCTTTAGAGTAAAACACTTTACTGTAGGGTGCTGTTTATAAGGCTACATGACACCTTCATAAGCTTGTCATGACAACTGACATAACCCTACATAAATGCTTATAAATGCTTATTTCAATAGGCGTCATCTGTCATAAAGACTACTTTAGCAAATTTTGATCAAAACTGGCAAATGTAACCTTTATAGAGAATGACGCCTATTGGAATAAGCATTTATAAACATTTATGTATGGTTATGTCAGTTGTCAAGCTTATGTAGGTGTCATAAAGCCTTATGACCAGCACCCTACAGTAATGTGTTACCGCTTTAGTTTTTCTCCTGATTATCACATCGTAATAATTTATATATGTTTTTTTTTATTTTTATCTGTGATCTAATAACTACTATTATTGTCACTGTAACTTAACCAACACTATGCTGTCAGGTTTTATTCAGCACTTTGGGTGTTGATGAGCCGGTTTGGATCAGGTTTGAACAGAATTTTGTTGTTGAAAACTTAAAGATGTGATTCAGATCGTATCTGGCTTGGACAAAACTTTGTTGGGCTCAGGTCAAGTTTGGACTCAGACTTGATGATGTGGTCCGGATCGGACTCGGACGGAAAATTCACGGGCTGTATTTTGGCTCAGACCAAAATTTTAAGTTCTAGTGTAAACCACAACTAATAAAGGACTGGCAAACAGCGTAAGAGGAAAAATACCAAAACACACAGAGCAGGAATGCTTTAGGACCAAGGTTGGGGTACATCTGTAAAAACATTCACCCACTGGACTTGCAAACTACTTAACACCATCTTGACCCTATACAACTTGACTGAAATCCCCTGTCAGCAGTATAAGCCTCGCCTGCAGCAATGACAGAATGACGAGTGGAGGGTCACTGAAGGCAAGCATTGCCTTGAGTGCTTGTGACAGCGAATTGCTGACAGTGGCGGCCCTGGGCACACTTGCTGGTACACCGGTGTCATGTCTCTTGACCCTCCCCTTGAGACATCTTGAAGGCGACAGCTCCAGAGTAAGGTTAGTGTATAGGACTGGCTCCTTCCAACCTGGATGGCTCTGCAACTAAACTATATCTTAAAAGTGGGGGAAGTTTCTGTGCTTTCCGGAGCGTAAAGATTAGCCACTTCTATCAAGCCCCGAAGACAGATGGGCGATCTATTAAGAGGCAGCCCAGAATCAGTGCACCCTTGGGACGTAGCAACTGTGGGAGCTCTGGCTGACAGCTCACTCGAGACTCAGTAGTAACAGATAGCAGGAGGGAAAGTGGAAGTGCCCGTAATCTCAGAGCAGCTGAGGGAACTGCCCTTCATTGCCCTTGCTGTTCCCGAGTGCTGAAATATTCATGCACGAGTGTCAGCTGCATGGAGGCTCACTGCTAAAACGTTGCTGACTCTGTGTTAAACCAGAGTGCTTGGAAACGTGTTGGAGATTTAGTAGGCTGGCTTTACAGTGTTGACTCAAGTCTATTTTGGACACATTTGCAAAGCTGAAAGAGGTTTGAAGAAGGAGCAGTAAGTATAAGAGGCTTAAAGTGCTCCAAATACTCTGCGTGGTCTTCAGCGCTTCAGGGGTGATATGTATTACCTTTGACTGGACTATGAATGCGGATGTTCATTTCAGCTCAAGTGTGGGAGATGGAGATAGTAAAGCACTGGCTACTCACTCTACTGTGTCCTCCCAGCTGCACCAGTGGCGCTGGTCCAGAGCTTCCATGTCCAGCTTGAACTTGGCCAGGCAGAACTCCTCAATAGCATATTCATAATGGTTGCTACATGCCATCGCTGCTGCACAGAGAGTTGCTGAAAGAGAGAAAGTAATTAATTAAGGAGGGTAAGATGCAGAAACTCAAGTGCTTCTTACATGTCTTATTTCTCCATTCGTTTTCAGTGGTCATAAAAGAGGCTGTTTACATTTTAAAAAATAAAGGTGACAAAAAGAGCTTCTTTGGAGCACTTTTGATTCCATAAAGAATCTTTCAATTAATTTTGAAGAATTTCAAGAATAATTTTTTGTAATGAGATGTGGGATGAGAACCTTTTTAAAGTTGAAATAACTTTACATATAATTTAAAGATTCTATATTAATTTTCTTAAAACCGCATGTCCAGGCTAAGGTCAAGTCAAGTCAAAGTATTTATACAGCGCTTTTAATAACAGGTGTTGTCACAAAGCAGCTTTACAGAAAAAAAAGGGTCCAAGCCCCCATGAGTGTCGCCACTGGTGACAGTGGCAAGGAAAAACTCCCTAAGAGCAAGAAGAAGAAACCTTGAGAGGAACCAAGACTCAAAAGGGGAACCCATCCTCCTCTGGGCCACACCAGATAGCAAACAGCATTAATATAAAATATTAAAATACAGAAACAGGGAAAAACAGGTGAAGAAATGGTTATAATTAAATAGTTTGAGTCTGTGCAGCAGCACTAATGTGTGTTTTTAAGAGTGTAATGGTTGAATATTCATCCATAACTACGCCTTGCACATATACTCTATGTCCACCATTTGTAGACATCTGCTTGGACAACATTTCTTCAGAAATCGAAGGTATTAATAGGGGTTTGTTTCCGTTCTGCAGCAGTAACAGCTTCCACTCTTCTGGAAAGGCCTTACACTACATGTTGGAACATTGCTGTGAGGATCTGATTGTATTTACGGAGCCTAAATGAGGTCAGTCATTGATGTTGGACAATTAGTTCTCACAACACCACTCCAATTCATCCCAAAGGTACTGGATGTAGCTCCATCACTCCAGAGAATGCAGTTATGCTGCTCCACAGCCCAGGGCTACCCCTCTAGCAGACACTTGGCATTGGATATGGTGGTTTCTGACTCCTGCAGCGGCTTCAGTGCATCCTATTTTATTAATGTCTGGATACCTTTGGACATTTAGAATATATCTAAGACACAAATCTAACATTAACATGGCAAACTGAACCAATGAGGAAATCAGTGGCTATTCAGACTTGTTCAGACTGGACCCCACCTTACACTGCAACATGCTTTCATCGTTTCGTTACACTATTGTAGTGTCCTGCCTACGAAAGTACCTAAAATATAACAGACAGGCTATGGCTTGTTCAAAACTGCAGCCACAGCAAGAATGCACAGCAGAAATAGACAGCATATTCAACCTGTTTAAGCACCACTGCACTGGCTGTTTGCTTCCTTTACAATTGATTTCAAAATCCTCTTACTGGCTTTCAAAGGTCTTAATGACGTAGCACCTTTATACATCACTGAATATCTGACAGTCTACACTCTAAAACCAGTTTTAAGATCATCAAGTGCTGCCTTACTGAATGTCCCAACAACAAAAGAAAATGATGTTGCCTTTTATTTTTATACTCACTACCTCTCGATATACCTCAAGCACTAACCCTTTTACTAGCTTCTAATAGTAAACAATTAAATAAAAATGGTTTTTGTTACTTAAATAGCATTTTCTGTTCTTTTTACTTACTTTATTTTAATTGACATGATCATTATTTACTCCGGTAACCCTTTATTTTAACAGTCCACTTTAGATGCTGTGTAGACGGTGCTCTGTAGTTTCAACAGATAGTTTGTTAACAATTTGAACGTCTGTAGATAATTTATAGGGGACTATACTGGACTATCCAAATAAAATGAGACCTTTACTCATATTAAAAGTCTTTCATTAATTTTAGTTCTTTTATTTCTTTTTTATCATTACTTTCTGAATATTTTTTCTGAATTTTATATAAACTGCATTTAAATATACTATATAAGTAAGTAATATATATATATATAAATATAACATTTTTAAACACTCCAGCAGCACTGCTGTGTCTGATCCACTCAGACCAGCACAACACACACTAACACACCACCACCACATCAGTGTTACTGCAGTGCTGAGAATGATCCACCACCCAAACAGTACCTGCTCTGTGAGGGTCCATGGGGGTCCTGACCACTGAAGAACAGGGTAAAAGGGGGCTAACAAAGTATGCAGAGAAACAGATGGACTACAGTCTGTAACTGTAGAACGACAAAGTGCACCTATATAGTAAGTGGAGCTGATAAAATGGTCAATGACCAAAAAGGTCGTAATGTTATGCCTGATCAGTGTATAAATATAAATACAGTGGCCATAAAGTCGTATTGAGAGGGTAAGGGTCAATTTGAGATGACTATAAAAGGCAGGTGGGAAATTTAATGAGGCCATTTTTGTCCATTGCAGGAAGTGCATTTGTATGAAAAATATGCATTGGCTTATAATAAACACCTTACTGCGGCTAGATTGAGTCATTCCAGGCATGCTTGGAGGTAAGAAAAACCCACAAAGAATTTACTTCACTATTTTCTCCACTGACAGCTGACATTCAGCTGTCAAGGCGTGACTCATTATTGCAGTAACCGTGCAGCTACTTTCAATAAATGCATGTGTGTCAGCTTAAATTCTGTTTGGAAGTGTGGGCATTTACTCAGAAAATCCATTTCCCATTTCTTAAAGACAATCTCTCACTATAAAGGAGGAAACGCATAAAAGGATTATTCAAATTTGGAGATAGCAAGCGTCTGAATGACCGTCTGCGCAGACAAAAGGGGGGAACAGCCTGAGAGGAGAAATAGTGATGAGTAGTTTAATTAACTCAGACAGAATGGGTTTAATATGCAGCACTTGGAAAAACAATAGCCCTTTTCAAACTGTCTAAAGTGCATCAGTCAAGTCTCCTCGCACGCCCTTCTCACTCTCCTTCTCATTATGGCCTCCATCTACAGCTCATTCTGACAGGTTTATGGCCGCGGTCCATAATGCTGTTGTGGGTGTGTGGGTGTGTGTGTGTGTGTAGGAGTAGGAGAGTGTTTGATGGGTGAGTGTGATCAGCTTGATGTAAGAGCTTTTTCACCTCCAGACATCATCACAGGCACTTTTTTAGCTCAGAGTAAGGGAACATCAACATTATCAGCTCACTCATGTGATGGGCCGGAGCGCCGGAGGTGGAGAGCAGAGAAGTCACTGACGGATCAGTGCTTTGTCTGGGAGAGTTTGTGAGTGTTTTTGTAAATTTTCAGGAAAATATCTCCTGCCTTTGGTTACTGAGCTTAAGATTAGAGTTTAGGATTTAGGCTTAGGAAAGTCTTATTACATAGACAGAACTGTGCAAAAGTCAGAGACCAGCCTTCATTTATTTGATTTCCCATTCGAAATTGCCATTAAATAGAAGTTATTTGTATTTCAGCAGATATTTCTGAGGAGATTATATATGGGATAATCCACTTGCATAAGGGAGAGGCTGCCCAAACGAAAACAAAGAAAAAACTGGAGCTAAAAAAAAAAAAAACAATTAAAAGATCCAAAGAAAATGGGACTCACAACTACCTGCAAGACCTGGTGAACCACCAAAACTGTCCCAATCAGATAAACAGCACTTAATGCTTTTATCTTTGAGAGAGAGGAGAAAATCAAGAGAGTGAGAATGTCTCTGCAGATTTCTTTGAAAAACTTGAAGCAAGTCTCTTGAAAAGAATGGAACCAAAGGATGGACACAATAAATGCTGAAAAATGAATAACTTGTACTTAACGGTCATTTTGACTTTTTGACTGGAAATGAAATAAATGAAGGGTGGTGTCTGATTTCTGAACAGTACTGCAGCTGCCTTTATATAACAGATTTGGGATATGTTGCTACTGCATATAAATACCCATGTAACTACAAATGACATGTGGGACATACTAATATTACATACTATATTACATGTACTATATTAAAAGTAACAATTTTCTGCAATGCACAATTACTTTATATTTGAACTTAAAAAATAGAAAAAAAGTGTGGAACGTGTAAACGTATGGACTTTTTTCTGGTTATGAAGCCTCAACAAACTGGTTAGGCCTTAATTGACTACTTGACTGGTTAGGCAATTTGCAAGAATTATCATTTGGTATTATCAGCTGATGATAATTATACCTGAGCTTAATAGATTCTCTGACTCTTCAAACCATGTGCTAATGCCTAACAACTAAGGGCTGCCCTAAGAAGTTGGCTGAGGATCTGACAATGAAGCTAAAAGATGTCTAAAGCCAATAAAAAGGCTATAAAAAGACTGCAAAGCACATCCAGCTTGCAATTTCCACTGTCCAAAATGGAAATCAAGGCAAAATCTGGAAGACCAAGTAAACTCTTAGACAGAACTGCTTGCATACTGGCCAGAAAGGCAAAGCAAAACCCCCATATCACAACAAAGGACCTGCATTAAGGTTTAGCTGACACAGGAGTGGTGGTGCACAAACATGGCGTGCAGGTAAGAATCATCAGAAGGACGCCTTACCTGCAGCATCAACACAAAAGTCAATGTCTGAAATATTCAAAACATCTATATAAGCTAAAGGCATTTTGGAAACAAATGTTGTGGACCGATGAAATAAAAATGGACTTCTTTGGCCAGAAACACCAAAGGTATGTCTGGAGAACAAGGAGCAGCATTTAATGATGAGAACACCTTGCCAGCTGTTAAGCATGGGGGTGGATCTGTGACACTTTGGGGTTGTGTGGCAGCCAGTGGCACAGAAAACACTGCACAGGTAGATGGATTCCACTAAATATCAGCAAATTCTGGAAGCAAATATAACACAGTCAGTCAAGACGCTGATGCTAAAAAGAGGCTGGCTTCTGCAACAGGAGAATGATTCAAAACATACCTCAAATCCAACATGAACTACTTGAAGAAATGCAATTCAAAGCTTTCAGAATGGCCCTGTGGGTAGATAATAAAAATGCTGTGCATGCAAGATAGCCCTCACATGTGTGTGTATATATAGTATAATTATAAATATCT